TAAATACTTCTGCAGCATGCAGAGAGATTGAATACATCTGTGTAGTGCTAGCATGAGCGAGTCTGTGCTCAAAAACAGGTTAGTTAAAAGAAAAAGAAAATCTTGAAATGAATCCAGGTAGCTTCCTAGTTAAAACATATCAAATAACATAAAGTATGTGAACTCAAGACAACTCAGTTTAACTATATAAAACATTCAAGCTGTAAAGCATCAGGAGGTTTTTTTATAGGTGCCTGGATAATTTGCCCTGAGGTGGCAGGGGGGCAGATTGGGTTGGTTCCCTTTTTACATCAAATGTTTTCCTGTGAGCCAAGAACTTGGGGAGAAACTGAAATACTGCTTCCTCTTTAAAGGCTTGTTGCATATACGTTATGCTCTTTGTGTGTGTTTGCTTAAACTTAGATGTTTTTAAAGATCCATGCCCCTCGTTTTAACTTAATGTCCTAAGACAGTTCCTGGTTAAGGGCTGGATTTCAAAGACTGCTTAGTTCTTCTCAAGCACCACACCATTCAAAATGGAAACTTTTGCTGTCTGGTCAGCAGAAAGTGTTCTTTTTCCTTGCCATTCCTAACATGAGTGTTTTATTGCATGTCAATGCTTCTAATCAAATCAAGTGGCACTTAATGTATTGTCTGGTGGGATCTTGTGTCCTTCAAAGTGTCTTAGGTGTGAAAGTCTCCAACTGCCTGAGTCAAGGCGCTGTCTCCAAGCAGTGGACCCAAAGTGGCTGATGGAGGCCGTTCAGCGTGGTTATTTCTTCCTTACCAGAGAGGTGTCATCCAGCAAGGGTGGTCAACACTTCAGTCCAATGCTTTGGGGAATCTTTGCTTAGATGTGGAGATTTCTATCTGAGGAGAGATTTGGCAAACACACAGAAGAGACCTCGGGGCGAGAGGGAGGGAATGGGGACGGGGAAGGAGCGCTCTGCTCCGCAGGCAGGGCCAGCAGGAGCCCAGGCTCGTCCAGTGCTCCCACTGCCAGCAGCTTCATCTGCCTGCTCCTTTCCAGAGCTGGAGGAACAGACAGCCTAGGCCATGTGTATCAGCAGAGCTGTGTGTGCATGGTCCCTTTCCAAGAAGCTCGAGTGCTGTATGGCATTTGTCACCGAGCTTGGATCTGTGAACTGTTTCACAGGAACCCACGGGACAGACCAAGTGTATTGGTCTTATTGTCCCAATACTTGTCTTAGGAGATTCTCTCTCTCCACTGGAAAAATTACAGTTTCCTTGCTGAAAAGGGATGGAATTCTCCCCTTTATGGGGAAAAATGTTTAAAAATTAAAACAAAAACTCCCACATGTATCTCTTCCTTTCCTATTAATACTAGCTAGTATATTGCATAAAACTAATGTACGTGCAACGTTGATTAAAAATAATTGGCTAATGGTGAGAGTAAGAATAAAAAATTATTTATAGCCTGGGCTAGCCTTTAACAAGAGAAAATAGCTTGAGGTATACCATGTAACACTAGTGTCTGGCTACTATCAAACATGCTGCAAATATATAGTAACAGATATTGTGTGCAGTAAATTTATCTTTGTAGTAGAAACCTGATGTTGTTGCTATTCCCAGGGGCTAAGTTGAATTACATTATTACCGAAGCTGAGCTAACAGAGCTTTGCTTATGGTATACATACAGACAAGGCGGTTCTTCACAGAGAGGTGACCTCTGCTGTATTTTGGTTTCAGATTTCACAGGGACACATTTCAAAGTTTTTAGCTTCAGTCCACACCCTGCTGGTAGCTAGCTATAAAACTCTCTTTTAAATAAATTAAAAAAAAAAAAAAAAAAAAAAGTCTGTCCTTTATTACTTTAATAAAGTCAGATAAAGGTCATTTGTTTACTCCTTTTGTGATATACACTGCTGCCGCTGTTCCTTGTCAGTATAAGTGATACTTGAAAGATGGAACTAAAGCTACAGAATTACTGGTTGCAGTGTGCAAATGCGTAGTGTAAGTAATTATCTTTTTTATGGGTCTTTTGTTTATTAGTTAACCTGGAGAATGTGCACAAGCATATATTTGTGCTAGGGAAGCTATTATGGTTGACATGGCGTGATGTAGTGTACTCCCTCCAAGGTTATTCCACCCTCTCTCTAAACTTTTTTTGTGTTTCTCTCTCTCTCTCCAAAACCAATTTAAAGAGCCAAATTAAAGCCCTGTAATCCTATTTAAGAGCCCTGTTGAATAAGAAGTCTGCATGTCACTGTTCCAATAAATATAATCACCTCTTTAGTGCAGTCTCCCCTCTCTAGGACAGATTTCCGTCTGATTGAAATCCTTGGGTTGTACATTGCAACCAAGCTCAAGGGGATATCCTGTTCTTCCCTCCTGGCCCTGTGGTCCTGCCTCATCCTCTCTTGTGTAAGCCCTGCTGCTTGCTGAACTTGTGCAATTCGCTGTGAATTGCAGAAAAGCTCCTCTCCCCCCTCTGACTGCATTAACTCTCTTTAAGAAGTTGAATTAACTCAAGAGAGGGTTGAGTGAGCACTAGGTGTGTACAAGGTGTCGAAGGCAATGGGGAGAAGCAGGGAGAGGGGGGGTAAGAAGATGGGGCACTGTCAGCACAGGTGGACTCCAGCCCCACAATCCTGGCGTGGTGATGCTCTGCAGCCAGGCGCTGCCTGCAGCACTGGGAGGTGTCAGTGAGTCTTCTGCAAGGGGACTGGCTGGTAGGAGAGCAAGAGTGATCAAATAATTGCTCTGGGCTTTGAGGTAGCATGTAGCAGCCCCCAGATTGCAAGGTTCTCCCTTACCCCCCCCCAAGTGCTCAGAATCTGAGGAGGAGCAGTCGTGTTTAAAGGGAGATTGTGGGATAAATGCAATGTTTTGGCAAAACAACATAATTTCAAAAATATTTTAATAAAAAATAATCTCAGCATGCTAGGCTGTGTGGCTCCCATATCCCAGCCCTGCCAGTGGGTGACAGTCCTATGTGGTGTGCTGGTCTTTGGCACTTGGTGTTGCTTTCCACAGCAGCCTTCCCTTGCCTCCAGAGCCTGCAGTATCCATGCATAGCACAAGATGCACTAGATTTTCTATAGCAAAATTCAAAGGTTTGCACTACTGAGTAGTGTATACCATTGCTTCTTTTTCTTTATTTCATAAGTTATATATAAGAAGTGGAGGCTAAATACTGCCATTATTTAGAGAACTTTATTACATCAAGTAGGCCATGCTGTCTGTATGTATAGAACAAATTCTTTCTTTGGTGAGAGGGGAGGGTGGGGCTGCTCTTGGTTCTAGTAATGAACTTCTGCATATGTTTACAAGATAACTTTAGATATAAAGAATTCAGAATGCCATTGAAGAACATGTATACAAATAAGTTGCTTAGCATATCTCAGCGAGCCGCCCAAAATGCTAATTCTGGCTTGCAGCCTCTTACGTGCCTTTGACAATGGCATTGCCTCTCTTCTTCCATCCAGGTTCTCATCAGTTAAGCAATGTGTGAGAAAACCTGGCAGAAGAATTGTTTTAGGAGTGTAATGCTGAGTTCCTAACAGCAGAAAGCTCTTTGCTGTTGGAGTTGACTGAAATGGTTCCAGTGCATCTCTGTGCAGGTGGTGGGTGACACAAGCTCTCAGCGTGAACAGCTGTCCTGCAGATAGCACTTTAATGTCTCCAGTGCCAGGTCCTCCCAACTTTCTCCTGCAACTCTTCTCCTGTTTTCTCCTAGCTGCAGAGAAGGATTGTCTTCCAAAGTTTGCATTTTCTGTTTCATATGATATGCAGGCTTCAGTGTAGAGACTTAAGGAGTCTTATCAAAGTAATACTGGCTCAGTCAGAGTAAAGATGCTTTAGTTAAATAGACTATGGCTGTGTTTAAAAATAACTGCTCTAGCTGTGTCAGCGTGTTGGACGACCTGATACTGACTGCAATAGAAAGAGCTTCTGAAAATTACTTTGCCTGTTGCAGTATTGCCCCAGTGTGAACTTGGTTTCTTTGGTAGCATTTCTGTGTTAGATAAACCAAAACAGAACCCCCACATTTTAAAAGTGAGCAGCCAAATGGCTTCAGAGGGAGCTTGTTGTAGTGGGCACCTTTTGAATGCACAAACAGGAGCAGCAGCAGTTTTGCTCTCGTTCGCACTGTGAACAAGCAGTGCCTGGGTTTGGTGCAAACACCACCCTCATTTAAGCTCAGTTAGTTTTGGGTTCTCAGCTGGTCGATGTTTGTAGTAGAAAGTTGGTGTGGGTATCTTCCAGCCCGAGATCTGTGTGTGAGTGCCATGCTTGCACACGTGTAGCCTGTTGCTTTCTTATAACAATATAGTGTGTGGAGGGGCTTTCTAGTAATTCCTCTGCAATTGTTTCATTTTGCCCCAGCCCTGGTGTGTCTCTGACTTCTGCTGCCTTTCTGAAGACTCATTTAAAGCACTGATGTTCTTAAAAAGTCTGGTTGATGAGAATTTTTTGAAAATACTTTGTGTATCTGATGTTTATCCTGTGTTTTACAGTTCTTGTCATGTGCGGGTTTTCTGTCCTTTTTTTTTTCTTGGCAAGGAAGACAGTATTACATTCTTGTACCAAGAGGAAGAGTATTAAGCCTACTCATAAAAAGAAGATTTATTATCAAATGTAGTTTTTCATTTTGTCCATTGGAATTTTTTTTTTTTTTCAACTCTAACCATACCCAGATTACTGGCTTCATTCATACAGTCGTTGTATCAAGTTTGGATGCTGTCTTTGTTAAATTATGGCTCCTGAGGGTTTTCTGTTACAGAGGTTTCTTCAGTCAGGGGAAATGAGGGTATAATAAGGAGGATTCAAGGACTGGACACAATGATTCCATATAACTGAAACAAACAATGCCAGATTTGGCTGATGTTGGATTTTCCATCAAACTTTTTTATTGGCGTTCATTCATCTTACTTTAAGCAGAGTTTAAAATTGAGGCACTTTGAGTGCCTGAAGGAACGGAGGGACCAATAGCAGATGATTTGGGCAATACTTTTAATCACTATATCCTATCTTCATGCATTTATTTTGAATTCCAGCTTACTCAGGAGGTTGCCTTGATTCAAATGCCATTAGAGCAGTAAATCCAACAGGAGCCATCCAGATTCACTGAAAGGACTGTCACTAAATGCAGTGCAAGAGACCTGACTGTGCCTGGGGTTTCTGAAACACTGATTCCAAGCATTGAGCTCATGCTTAGTGAGAAGAGTGCTGTTTCCTGGCAGAGTGAGTACCTGACCTTCATTTCTGTAGCCTCTCACTTGCTGCAACTCCCTTAGCTGTTACTGGTATATTTTGTCTTTTACTACACTTATAAAATGTTATTAACTGTAATGTGCTAAAATAGGGATAAAATAATCAGAATGCACTTCAGGATGCAAGCAAAATTGCTGTGAGATTCTATAAATAAATGACTGTCAGCTAGAAATACAGTGTGAAGCAAGAACACAGGGTATGCCTGTAGCTTTCTGTCTTTCTCATGTTGAGCACTGCCAGAAGGGGAATGATGCTGAATCTGTTTTTCACTGCCTCTGCTATGCCAGAACATTGGTCTGTTGGGGTAGAGAGAGTGCACTACTGCAGTTTTCTGCAGACACTTCTCAAGGAGAGAGAGGAGGAGAAAAAAACCATAGCATTAGTTTTGACATTTACAAACTAAGAGATACTATATAAAGCTGAAGTTGAAACTTAGCTGTTGCTTAAATGTCCTTTTAATTATTTTAGAATGCTTTGGGGTGTTTTTCCCCACTCTTATTCTCAAAAACTTCTGTGTCTTTGCTCACCAATTGGTGAAATTGGATGCAGTGGTTGATACCCAGTACAAAAACTCCTTCCTCTTCCCATCTTTTTCTGCATGTGCTCTTCAATATACCTTATCCAATTCTTTATTCACAGAAGTCTAGGAGAAACTTTCCTAATTAGGGAAGCTTTTTCTCTTATTAGGGTTCAATGGCATAACTTTAACTTCTGTTCCTGCATCTTTTCTACCTTTAGTGGCTTAGAAGTAAAAATTAAAGCCCTTACAGTGGTCTAACATGTAGCACTTTGGAGGATGAAAATTAGATTCGCCGTGGAGCAAAAAGCTGTATGTGATTTGAGATTAGCACTTGCAGTGCATCAGCATTATGGTCAAATTTATTTGACACAGTGTTTTTAGTCTTTTTATGCAATATGTGGTAAAAGAGGATTCTGCTTGATAAAAGAACGAAAGCAAGCCGACAGAAGTAAAACTACATATTGCCCCAAGGATAGAATTTTAGAAATGTTTCTCTGGATTCCAGCAATGGGCATTACATAAGAAAGAAAAAAAAGTCTGCCCTGAAGTGCCCAAGTTATTGAAGTTTTTGTAAAAATAGGATTTGTCTGTCCAGAAATTTATTGCAATGTCTACTTCTGACCAGAGGTGACACGAGTACAGATGCTTTGTAAATTCCTACTCATCTACAGGAACCTGTGGCTTTTGAGGCTGCAAGGTTGTGTAACTCGGTGTGAAAAACATAAAAGGTTGCAGCTGATATCTTCAAATTATTTATTTACCTTGCAGTTGTGTGAAATTAAGTTTCCTGAGAGGTCTGAGTGATGTTATTTACTGTAGGAGGATCTGATCTTGTAGTTGTTTGTTCTTTGTGGTAAGCACAAAGACCAAAGATCTGAACTAGCACAAATGACCAAAAGTGTGCAATTGTGCACTCTCTAAGAGTGCTCTCTTTGGTGTATTGATAGATCAGCATTAAGGGGTGGTGGTTGTGAAAGCAGAAAGGAGAACTGTCATCACTGTGAGATGCAGCGACTTCTTGTAGCAACTTGTGGGGAGGAATTTGCACTGGACTCAGACCCACACTCATACCCCAGATGTTCTCTTGAGCCACAGCTCTTTCTTTGGCTCAGCCCCTGAGGGAGCAGAAAGGCAGGAGGTATTCACACAGCACTATTTGTGGCCAGCCAGGGCTTTCCCCTTAATCACATTCCTGCTTTGAATTGCTATTTGGAGAGCACTCTAAGGATGCTGGAAGCCTTAAAACAAGGCAAACTCAGGGCTTGGCTGGCTAATTAAGGTGCCCCAGCAGAGCAGTGAATAGCACACTTGGGTTGTTATGCCTGCATACAGATTCTTGGTAGAGGGGCCTGGATCTGTGGGTCCTCTCAGATCTGTGCAGATAGCACCCAGGTAACAACTCTGTTAATTCTCAGCTCATTATTCAGATTGCGGTTATATTTAAATATTCTGTCTGCATTTTGCCTTAATCTCTCAGAAGACTTGGATTGTGAGGGTCTTTTTTTCAAACTTTTTAACACAAGCTGTGTAAGTGCTGCAGTATGTTATTTTTCTCTTTTTAAGGTATTTTATCCCATGCTGATGTGACAGCTGTTCATGTTCACACATCTTGGCAACAGTTAAGCCTTTCATGTGAAGTAGTTGGCAGCTGGTACATGAATGATGGTTTTGCCATTGATTCATTAATGTGTCCAGAAACCACCTGTAAGGTTTTGGGTTCTCAAGGAATTCCATTTATTTGTCTTCTTTCTGAAGAAAATAAACAAGTACACACACATCTTCATTTGTTTCTCCTATCCCTATCTGTAGCTAGGCTTCTCAAGCTGGGGTTTCTTTTATGTTTAAAGAAAAGGCTTTGCTAGCAAGGCTTCTGTTATAAATAGTAGGTAAGTGCACCTACACATCAGGGCTCTCTTTTTAAGTGAGGTTGTAGCAGTTGCAGTTGGGAGGTGATTTTTGAATACTCTGCAGATAGACTGCATGGTGGGCAGAGCCTCTCACCTGCATGACACCCACAAACCAAAGTCGCTGGAAGCCCTTGGGTGAGAGCACAGCTGAGCTTCAGAGCTTGGGCACTTCAGCAGCCTCTCTCACTGACAGAACCTTTTCCTCGTGGAGCAGGAGCAAGTGCTTTGCTCACCTCTGTGCTCGGAGTGTTTGTTTGTCCATCCTCGCCAGAGCTTCCTCTCTGGACAAGGTGTAACCACACTTTAAATCAATCTGATTCCCCACTAAAGACAGTGTTTCTCCAACCATGCATATGTATTTAATCCTGTTGAAAATGATTCTCAAAACAGATGTTTAAAGCTCTTGTTAAAGGTCACTTGGGGCATTTTAAATAGTTGTGTAAAATTCCAGTTGCCTCATTGTCCTGTCTCCAGAAGCAAGTAGCAATGTACCTGTTGATTAGAAATTGGCTGGTCATGAGAGGATTTTAAAATTTTACCTCCATTCACATCATCTGACACAGAATTTCTTAGGTGAAAGTAGGACTTTTCCCTGTTTTGATTTTTATTTTTTAATTTTTTCATCATTTCATATGACCTGTTTAATACCTTGCTTGGAAAAGATAATCTAGATTAATCAAATATATGAGCTTTACCAATAAATGTAGATGCTCCTAAGTGGTGCTGTGCTCTGAAAGAGTTAGTTTTGTTTTTTAAAGACCTAATCAAAAGATAATTTGGGGAAAGGGGTTGCTTTCTTTTCAACTGTTGGTTCTCAGTGATGTTACTGGTAGTTAACTAACCCAGCTTTTCAAGTATTTCCCTTCCTTCAATAAATACATTGCTAAGGTAACAGTCTCAGTAACCACTGAACATTTTAGGGATTTACAGCTTTAACTTGATATGCTCATGGATGGGGAGTGAGAGTAATGATTATAAAGAGAGACAATTTTTCTTAAGCACTGGATTCTCTATTCATATGAATAAGAACTTGTCTGATCTAATTCAGGAGTGTGTTTGTTAAGAGGACTGTTCTTAATTAATTCAATACTTGGATATCAAATATGGTGAAAATCTCTTGGGTTCAGATGTGGAATGATGCAGTCAGTCTTTCTGTACTGTTTCTTTTCTGTTTTGAAAAGAGTTTGAGCTTTATTCTAATTTTCTTGAGGCTCTAGATAGGATTTTATAAATCAGCAAGCATGAAACAGTGGAGTTCTTATTCAGACTTCACTGATTTTGAATTTAAAACTTTTCTGTTTCTTCTGTTCTTTTTGGTGGTTGCTCAGGGTTTTATTAGAATTAAACAACCTTTTATATCCTAAGCAATCCTATAGTACACCAATTAAATCTTTACTTTATATTTTAATTGCCTAAGAGCTCTCTAAATTTGTAAGAGATTTCAAGGATGATATTATTAATCAAAACTTTGATATGTTTCAGCTGACTTTTAATTTTCTCTACTTAAAACACTACAAATAATTGCTTACAGTATCTACAGTTTCCACAGTTCTGCAAGCAGAGTTGCAGTAACTATTTTTGCACTTTGAAAATCAAATTACAAGTCAGGTGCAGTGCTAGCTAAGTATTGTTTGTGGCAAGGAAGCTCAGTCTGGACTTAGTTGTAACCTGCATCGTTGCCTTCTCACACCTGGTATAGCAGTGGGCTGCTACAAAGCAGGGTTTCCTCAGTGCATGCTATGGGGTTTTTTTGTAAGAGTGTGCCTGAATTTTTTTTTTTTTTTTTGGTGGATTTGTGAAAGGGGAAGGCATGCAACTTTTCAGTTCTAGGAAACATTTTCTTTGTGAGTTAGGAGTCTTAGAGAAAAACACAGAAAATGGGTGAAATTCACATAGAGAGAATTTTTCCCTAAACACTGGGTTCAGGATGTAGGCCACATCTGTAATCATGTTTTTAGAAATGAGTCCATATTAAATGGATTCTCTGCCAACAACATCTGGTTGCACTTTATGTACGTGTTTTCTTTCATAGAGAAAGCAAACCATATGACATAACCCCAGTCAGATAAAATGATTGTTTATAATACTTTGTTTATTTATATAGCACCACAAGATGAAATACATCTTCATCTGAAAAACCTTGCAGCAGATTACCAAGGTGAGCAGATGACATCTGCATTTCCAGATGGCTGGTTTGGGGAACTGTGTTGTGTGGTTTATAAGCCCTGCTTAAAGGCATATAAAATTAGTAGCTGAATTTGCTAATTGAATGGGGGCTGATAATTCCAGGTGCCTTCTTGGGGAGTGTCCCACATTCTGTAGTGGGACTGTGATGCTGGAAGTGCTCCTGATGCATTGCATGGGGTCAGAAGGGGCATTACTGTGCAGTGACAAACCTTCACAGACACAATGTCTTTTAGGACTGGTGGTAACCCTCTGGTAGTGGCCACTGCTCTGAGTGAAACTTGAGAGCAGTGATTTGCTTTTATTAAAATGGCCAGCCCTGCAGTTGCTGTGCTGAACATGAATTGCTCAGACTAATT